CATTTTTCTCAAACATTGTTCACAAATCAGTCTAAATGTGTGGTAGTGAGCACCTGTGCTTTGCTGAGATAATCCATCCCACCTCACAGGTGTGCCACATCAAGATGCTAGTCCGACATAATGAGTAGTGCACAGGTGTACCTTATACTGCCCACAATAAAAGGCCACCCAGGATATTGCTCCTACAATGATCCATTTCAGATCTTATGATCAGTATGAGTTTGATGTAACAAGTTAATCATTGTTTACACTCATACATATTACAATAAGATGCTCGTTAAGGTAATATTCACCTCACGTAAGTGTTTTAAGACATTCTCATTCACAAAGTGTTAAAACATCTTTGTATCTGAACAAGGCGTGTCTTCTGAGGAATGTTTGGTAAAGTGCTTGAAACGTGTCAGATTCTGATTTGCCATACTAAGCCAAAACTCATAACATTGTGGTTTATTAAAACAAGAATTACTTCTCGATTAATTCAGTTTCCAGCTGACTCCTGATTCGGCCAAATTGGGAAAGAAGCCTCTTTTGAAACCATCTCCTTTGACCTCCTGTCAAAGCCTCTCTGAAACGCTGCGGCTGATACAGCCCAAACAGCTCTTCTAAGAGCAACTTCACACCTCAGACATCTAACCTGCAGACCCAGGGTTGCATATTACTGGCTGGGGAAGCTGGACTCAGAGGAAGCTACTAATCTCTGAGTATTGTGGTTTCGACATCCGGTGACCTCACCACTCGGACCGCACCCCTCCGGACCGCCGAGAGCAACTCATACCAAGGGTATCGTAGCCTGCACACTGGAGTCTGATTACTTTTGTAAATAACTCTCTAGTTTATAACCAAACAACAAATCCGTTAACAACCCAGACTTCACAAAATCTCTCAGATACAAAGGATGGTTTTGCTAAAACGTCTAGCTTCCATTACATCATTTCACTCATCACATTAAATCACTCCATATCATTACACCACATCTCATTATTCATATCTTGTCATGTGTAATCATTAATTTAAGAAAACAAATTAAATTAATTTTATAAACTATATACTGACTGTCTGAATTAATGCAAAGTGTGTTTATGGTCCCTGAAGAAGCAAAGAACCCTAGAATCTTCAAAGATCAATCAGGTTGATATTGATTGATATATTTATATGGAATCATCACATCTCATTGGTCATAATTAATATGTAGTGATAATGTCAATCATTAATCACGCTACAAGGGAAATGACCAGGATATGACATCACTGCGACATGTCTATGTGACGTCGACAGGACATCCACAAAGACCTCCTATAGTCCAGATGTAGCCCCAATTTGGAGGTCATAGAGATGTGAATACTGGAGGTCCACATGACTTCGTTGAAAGACGTCATCTGGTGTCACAGTCTGCACCTTCAGTGGACCAATTAATGAAGGTGAAAGAAATTACTGGGTTAAGTAAATACACATTCATATATTTTTCAATTGTCATCTTTACTTTGATTTAAAAACAAGATGGCTAAAACCATTTTCATACATTTGACATAAAAAAATAAATGAGACCGTAACCATCAAACATCCAATTTCAAAAGACACCAGTTTAAAACGAATCAGAGTACAGATAATTTATACAGATAAGGAGCATTATGCGATCACTGCTGGGACTCGTTTACACCACATTCTCTGAGTGTGAACAGATCACATGACATCATGAGTGTGGCGTTACGGTCAAGATGTGACTCCATTATTTCTCAACATTTTTACCTCAAACTTAAGGGCAGTAGGTGGTGTGCATTCCTCTGAGAAACACTGGTCTTTTAATTAATCCAGTTTTACAGGCAAATGTCTGGCATCTGATCTCATATGTTTTATTACATTTGAAACGTTTTGTTTCAGAAACATGGGGTTCACGTAAAATATAAAAATAATATATCTTTTATTTCTAACACATTTAGATCAATTGTGATGTAAGTGCTTCACTTAGAGGTTGCTTTACTTAAAGCAGACACCGGCTGGGCTTCATTGTTGCTGCTTCTGAGCAGCTTTGCTGTTTCGGTGATTAAATCCTTTTTCTGAGACAAATGTGTGAGAGCTCCTCTCCTGCTGTTGGTAATAACAACCGTGGTGTCCACCTACATCACACTTATGCTAGTTTTTCAAATGGCAGATTTAGACTTTGACAAACAACCTGCAGGTTCTTTTTCTAACTTCGTTCGGTGTTTCACTATGGGAATCGCCCTGGCGTGACCAACTACGGAAGCTCCAATGACATCACGTCTGGCCCTGACAGACCGGTTGCGCCATGCCCAGGCTCCGCCCACCCAGTATATACTCGGCCAACCAACCTCTTCTACTCACTCTCGCTTTCTTCCCATGAAAAACTACACTTTGCTCTCTCAGCGATTTTCAGGCTATCTTCAGTTAGCTGCTTAACTGTTCTCAGGCGTACCGTCAGGATACGTTGCCGAACGCAGTCCCAATGCAGTCTGGATTTGCGCAGAGTAAGTGCTTCTAAGTCACTTGACACTTTGCTAGGGACAGTCACCGCGTCACGGCGAACTGCTCCCACGGTTACTCTGTTGTCATTGACGGAGTAGTATTAGCGGGTGTAGCTCAAGCTGAGGTTGTAATCTTGCTAAGCTTGAGGCGAGCTTGTCCTTTACTTATTTAGCATTTACTTGCTAATGAGCTACTTTGGTGCAGCTAACGTGTCACGACGAGTTGGCCTACATATAAAATGTAGCTTTAGTTGCAGACTTACACCTGCTAACTAGCTTGCTAATGCTTTTTCAGGCTAACGTGTCACAACAAGTTGGATTTTCAGCTATGGCTACCACACCTACCCCGACCGACGGGTCGGAACCGAAGGCTAAAGAGGCTGCCTCCCGCCTGTGCCCGGCGTCATATGGGGCTTCTATTTCAGGCAGGGACCCTCATCCTTTGTGCATAGCGTGCATGTGCTGCTCATGCCCAGACATCGCTGGCTAACTGCAGACATGCTCTCACTGCTCCTCCATGCCGGACAAGATAAGGGAAAGGAGGCTTAGAGTGGCAGTGGCTAACGTCCGGAACCCAGGCCTTGGCTCTGCCATGCCTGCAGCTGCAGGTGACAACCATCAGCCGCGAGCCTCCACAAGCTTGGCGGATATGATGGAAGAAGAGCCCCTGCTACCACTTCTGTTCGAGGGGCTGGGTGACAGCGGGCTGTTTGATGCGGGTGATGACTAGGCTGGAGGTGATGTGAACTCAGACCTCCTCGACTTGGACATGGAAGAGGAGGAAAAGGATTCCACCTTCCCGGCTCAACACTCTAGGCCATCTAGCGGCACTGGGGTGGCATCACAGGGGGACGCCGACCTGTACGAGGTTTGCAGACGAGCAGCGGCAAAGCTCAACAAGTGACCGGCAGCCCAAGGGGCAGAAGGGGTGGAACGAGACCTGTATGATGGTAAGAGGCTCCCACTATCCTCGTCTCCACCCAAGAAGCTCTTGCCTGCTGTCCCAGCATGCATGAGAGAAATGAGCCGTTACTGGTCTAGCCCATTTAAGAGCAAACTCCCCACCAAGAGATGCTCTAAACTGGAGGTGCATGGGATGGGGGAATTTGGGCTGGCCGAACCCCCAACGTTGGAGCCTTCAGTGGCATACCACCTTCACCCCAACTGTTGAAATTTCTTTATGTGAGAGGGATTTAGTGCAAAGACCTTCATGAACATGTTTGGTATCGACCAGAGAACTATTAGAACTGAAGAAAAATAAGTCATAATGAGTACTTTTTAACGTTTCCATAAACAGCATGTAACTAAGTTCTTGCAAAAGCATTTAAGGCCATGTCCCACTTTCACTGTAGGTCAACACATAAAACATGTGATTATATTTTATTATGTCTAACAGATTTTGACAAGTTGGCCTGATGAAAGTACTTCACTCATTTATAAATGATATTAGCTTTATAATGAATGACTTTATTTCTTGTTTTTATTTGTTAATGTTAGGTTTTCTTTGTTAGAATATGCTACCTGTCTTATCTGATGGAGGAATGTTTCTCCCTCTCAACCCTGAGGCTTTCAGAAACATTTAAATATTTTATGGAACAAATTTAACTGTTTTTTTAAGTGTCAGCTCCAAACATGGCTGCTGGTAAAGCATTAAAACAGCTGAGAGTCTGCAGACAGTAGATGCTCATTATAAGTACAGTAATGTGAACAGCGTAGGGATTTAATACCTCTGCTACTTGAAGGGAATAAAAATCACTTCCTATCTTTTTCATAAAAAGTCAGACAGGGCTGATAGCTAACAGGCTTCGTCGCTCGTTTAACCGGATGCTGCTTTAACTGGCTTTATACCAAACCCACATCTTGGAACTGTCTGGGGAGGTCCCACATGGTACTTCTGACCTCCTCCATGCTGCACTAGGAGCACAGACGAGCTGGAATTATTTTCTAATACTTACAATCTTTCCGCTTTAACACCATCGGGTCACATTTTCTGAATTAGTGAAAACATATGGCGTATTTCTGTTTTAAAACACAATACAAATATTCAAAATAAGCAAACCTGGCACAGCATTCCTCAATATTGATTGTCTCTTTTGAGTTTTTCACTGGAGCTCCACTCTCACTGATTAAGCACATGACAACCACCCAGCAGACCACTGGACACCACATGAAGACTCAAACTAGACAATGTGCACTGAAAGTCTGGTAGGAACACAATAAAAAACAACTACAAAAGATACAATTACACTTAAATTCTCCATTTGCTGTTAATATGATCTCTTCACAATATTACAACTGCTTAACATCAGCTACAATATTTATCTTCCGACATGAAAATATAATAATTTAACCCTCACTCATTTATACAGTCGTGTTTTCTCCAGATGTAGCACAATGATTTTCTTTCCATTTTGGCAGCTTGATCTGACCTCTTGAGTATTGGAGATGAGCCTGGTGGTCCTTTCATTACACATCTGAGTGCTAAAATTGGAGCAGATCCAGTCTAATCTCACCAATCCACCCAAAGGTACAGTATAATGGCTGGTGGGATGCCAAGGGAATGCAGGAGGGAGCGGTTTGGCGGTTGACAGGATCCATGGAAAAGGAAACCATATGAATTGTTTTATTTATTACATTTAGTCTCTTAACAAAAACATGGAAAAACCTTGAGTCACTTTTGACATTGGCCAAGTTGTAAATATTAGTTTTATCTTTACGTACTCTGCTTAAATCTGTCTCAGTTTAAATGAAAAAAAAAGTTTTTTCTGTCTTTCAGACATTTCAGATGATTGTCAATGTTAGATCCCAATTTTTTCATTTCAGTCCTGAAAAAAAATGCTGATTTGCAATATTGCTGTAAAAACTGTAAAATTAGAAAAAGTGTCTCCTAGCTGCTCCGAGTTTTTTTTATAAACATCGGATCAGAAACTGGAAGGACCTGGCGGTTAAAAGTTGTTTTGGGATTTGTTGAGAACGTAAATGTTTATTTTACCTCATGGATCGATCAACCCCGACCTTAGTCGTGGATTAGTGGGAACTTTTTCAAATACTCTGAGTCTCAATGGCTTTGCTCCAGGGTCATTGTGACCACATTATGTCATGATTATACCTGCTGTACAACTGGGACTAGATTCCCTTTTTTAAGGAGGGATTTCCTTTTCTCCTCACACACTGCTCTCATCCTTCTCTCTGTAGCTTTCACCCTGTCTACAGCGCTCCGTTTCATTCCCAGGCAGGCAGAATTCCTTTCTGTCCTCATCACAGTGCAATGATCCATTGCGTAACCTCTCAACATCACCCAGTGATAGCTGTGTGGAGTTGTAGACCAGTGGCGGGATTGTGTTCACCAGTATGAGTTGAAGAGGTTTCTTCTCTGGCTGATATTGGCAGCGTATGTAGCGCAGGAACGCTGTGCGGTACGTTTTGTTGAACAGTGTGTAGACCAGCGGATTAACGGCTGAGGACAAGTACCCAACCCAAACAAAAATGTTCAGCAGACCTTCCATGACTTCTAGATTGCACAGGGTTTGGCGACACACCACCACCAGCACGTTGGTGATGAAAAATGGGCACCACATGACCACAAAGAGAAAAAACACCACGCCAAGCACCTTAGAGGCCTTCTGTTCATTGCTGATGGACTGCATGGTGCGTCGTCCAAACAACGAACCAGACACACTCCCACGGACACCACCAAGGCCACCGCTGCTCCCTCTGCCTCCAACCTCTCGGCTGATGGAGCGCCTGAAGAGTTTCTCAGAGGACACCGAGGTTTGTGGTAGGAAGCTGAGGGTGAACGTTGTGCTCCATTTGGGCCGTGGAACCAGCTGGTCCAAGCAGAGCGTGGCTTCGTTCTGCAGGGCGTTGATGGTCAAGAAGTAGGTGACAATCATAATCGTTAAAGGAACAAAGAAGGCAACAAAGGAGCCGACCAGAACAAAGTTAGCATCTGTCAGCAGGCAGACACCGTCTTTGAAAACCTTGGAGTGGTCTCTCAGTCCCAGCACAGGAATTGGCATGGAGATTCCTGCAGACAGGAAGGAAACAGCAGAAAGATCAGAAAAGTACAGCACTGTAGAAGTTCTGCAGTAGATAAGAGTGTGTTCGTGCATGTGAGGAGATGAAAGCTGACAGGAACACATAGCAGACACAATCTGGCCAACCACAGAGCTGGTCTGGACCCAGAACAGTTGTTAGGTTGCTATGGAATATTTTTGTTTCTGTATCAAACCTCAGTGGTGGTTACGCCTCTGAGCCTTTCAGATAGCAATGTTCTGCATCTTTGTTACACTTTTAGGTGAAGGGAGTTTCTCGACAAAAGACAGATTTAATTTCACATTCCGGCAGCGATGGAGTTAAGATAAGTACTGCAATCACAGTTCCACTTTCATATCTATTGGTACATTTTGTTTTCCCATTTATTACCTACAATTTTCTTTCTGTATTGTTTTCCCAGAACATAGATTGTGAATTGGTCTGTCCTGAGTTGTGTGTCATAACAAATACCAAACCTAGTACACAGCATCATTTGATTTTTTTTCCACTGAAATTCCTGTTTCTGTTTCTGTTTCTGTTTCTGTTTCTGTTCATGTCCAGAATTTTTGTAAATAGCCTCAGCAGCCATGCTACAATAAATCCAATAGAAAATGTATCTGACAAAAACAGTTTGAAATGATGGTGAGGATTCTGAACGTAAGACCAGCAAAAGTTTGGCTGCAGAAGGTAAACTGAGCAATTTTTCCTCTGACGTACCAGCTCGTAGCAAACAGGAGGCAAGAGGGGAAAAAGGAGAGAGGGCTGGAGACCAGCAGGATGGTTGAACCGCTACAGTGGCACTCACACTGGGACCAGGAGGGTCAGAGAGGGTTTAATTCTCATTAAGTCTGGATGTCAGACAGGAAACCAGCTGGAGTGATGCAGTCTGAAGCTCTGCAAGCCTCAGACTTAACCCTCTCAGGCTCAAAATAAGTTTTAATAAAAGGACAAACAACTAAGTCCTTCAGGGGTACTTCAGCGTTAAAAAATGCTCATGAAAGACCTTTGTGGAGTAACCAGGTTTTAATGTTGCAAATCTCCAACGCCTGCCTTTCTCAGACTGCCTTCAGCCACAAAACAGAAATGGTCGGCTAATTTTAAAGGGTTTGTTTGGAAACAAAAACAACACTACGAAAGCAGCATGATGACCATGTCATTTTGATTTGATTCAGACAGCATGTCTGTAATCTCTCCACTCAAAATGATCAAGCTTCTTCAGGTGTGTTTGTTTAGGTAGCCTAACATAATTACACCCATGATCTGCTTCTGTTTGGGCTTTTTTCTTGCTTATTTATATGATCTATACATTATTTTTACTGAGTTTGTTGTGTTTTAAGGTTGATTTAGCCACTTTGAGACTCCCTATGGTAGTGTGTGTGTGTGTGTGTGTGTGTGTGTGTGTGTGTGTGTGTGTGTGTGTGTGTGTGTGTGTGTGTGTGTGTGTGTGTGTGTGTGTGCTGATCACCCACACCTATTATTTAAAAGAAAAAGGTAATCTCAGATTTAGTTCTTGACTTCCTGCTGTATGCTCCGTTATTCACCTTTCTGATATGACAGGTTGTAATTAGTTCTGGTTCTTAAAAACCTCCATGACTGTCAGAAGGAGAGACTTTCAGCCATACAACCTGAAACAAAATCCAACCTGTTCAAACTCGGGTTCCAAAACATACACATGGCAGCACCTATACACCAGATATTGTAGTTTTACTTTTGCACAGCAGAAGTAGACTAATGCAGACTAAAGTCTGTCGAGACTGAGGAAAAACAGCCAAATTCCCAATTTTGAAGTTACCACATAGAAAAGTCAAATTTTAACATCTATATTACGGCTCCCAGGCTGGCCAGTGAGATTCAGGAGCCAGGATCACCCAGCCCCGGTGGTCAGCCTGACACCGCCCCTCCTCCTCCTCTCTTCCAGGCTGCTGAGTACAGCTGAGCTGAATTCTGTTGATTACCAACACCTGGGATAAAAAGGCTGTGCCTTCAGCAGTCTGGGAGGCAGAAAAATATAAGAATGAATAGTAGAGATCAAAGAATAATATCAAGATTAAGAATGGGTCATACTGGGCTTAATAATACGATGCATCCACAGGTTTGTGTGGATGTGGGGTGGGGGGAGAAACAGTGGAACATGTTTTATGTGACAGCATAAAATATGAGGAAAGTAGAGGACAACTCAGGGAGAAATTAAAAAACATAGGAGGTGGAGTGATAAATGTGAAGAATTTGTTAAATGGTGAAGAAAGGAAATATAAGTTGGTTATTGAGTATCTAAAACACAGTGGTTTGTTGAATAGAATTTAGTTTTATTTATTTTATTTTTTTTACGCTCTTACTCCGACTCACACTCCAGCACAGTAGGTGGCGGAAATGCACCTAGCAGTTAGATGCCACCCGCCAATAGAGAAGAAGAAGAAGAAGAAGTCTGGGAGGCAGCAGTGCAGGCGTTCTGCTGTCCTCCAGGCCTCAGTTTGTTTTAAACCCCTTTGTTTTTGAAGAGTTTTAACTTTCATAGTTTTAACTCCGAGTTGATGAGCTTTAAAGAGTTAAAGCTCTGAGTGATCCAGAGGGATCGTTTTAAAGGTTAACTTGGTGAAGCAATTTTATTGATTCCGGTTTTAAACACCTTCTGTGTTGGAAAAAACTTTTACAATAAGTTTTTACTAGGTGTTTTAAGTCAGTAGATTGTTTTAGACTTTTACCAACTTCTGGATTTTAAAAACACCTTCTGTTTGGTAGAACTTTTAATAAGTTTTAACCAGGTGTTTTTATAGTTGGTAATTGGTGTAATGTTAACCTTTTTGAGAGTTTTTGTTTGTTTTGCACTATCTTTAGAATGCTCGTCATCTGTTTGCTCGTTTTTAGAACCTTTTACAGCAATTAAAACCATTTTAACTCCACTGTCTTATTTCTTATATTACCCCCTCCTTCACATTTTTGACATCACCTGTCGGGGACGTAACAATTTATAATGAATTTCATTGGCCAGTCGACCCTAGGGCCCTGGGTCTGCTGCTAAAAATACGAAAATAAAAGAACAAAATTACAAAAGTATCAATAATGTTTTGGATTGGTGTTGTCTAGTTCCCTTTTCCCCAGATGATATTTCTAGTTAAAGAGTAACTAAATCCAAAAATAAAAATTTTTGCGCATAAACTGTATAATTGGGTTTTTACAAAGCAAACTGTTTCTGTGCATTTTTTGACATGTTTGTGTAAACTTGATTAAATCTAGCATCTGGGTCTAAAAACGTCTTAATGCTGCCCCCTGTGGCAGAACAGCGGCTACTGCATTTTCTACTTGTGATTGACTGGGGCTGGAACTGGAACAAATTCACGTCATCGGTACAGTCTCCTCCCCCTCCCTCCCAGGATGGAAATTCCCCACACTTGGCCATGCCACTCTGTGCCTCCTGGCAACGCCCACTTTCATAACATTTTTCAAATCTTGACTATGGGTGGAGTTACATTTTCTGATGGTGTGCAGTCCCCCTTTAATTTTTTAATTTTATGGAACAAAATTTATATTTCATTAACAATTTAGGTTTGTTTTAATATAGTTCATCCTAGAGTAGCGTACCCAAAGGTCAAGTATTCACATCAAAAATGACCAGAAATTTACTTTTTATTTGCAGACTTAAACCACGTCACACATCCAGGGCTGCATTACATCCATCTGGCCTCCAAACAAGAAAAGCAGGGATCTACAAGGTGCATCCAAATGAGTTGGAGGGAACCCCAAGGTGCTGTTTCACACCATCAGCAGCACTGTCTCTCCTGCCTCTCCTACAGCCTCCATCCACTCTGTTGCAGACTGTGAGAACTTTCTGTCTTTCTTTGTGGACAAAGTCAATAAGGTTAGATCTAGCATCTCTCCTTCAGCCTTATCGCCACCTCTCCCGACTCCAACCAGGCCCATCATTCTAGATAGCTTTGCTCCTGTTTCTTTGCCTGAGTTAACCAAACTAGTCAACTCTATGAAGACCTCTGCATGCCCCCTCGACATCTTACCCTCATCTTTGTTTAAAAGTGCTTTTCAGTCCATCGGTCCCAGCGTGCTCTCTATAATTAATGCTTCTCTGGTTTCTGGTCAGGTCCCTGCTTACTTTAAGGATGCTGTAATCCACCCACTTCTTAAAAAACAGAGTCTCGACCTCTCTCTCCATAGCAGCTTCAGACCCATCTCTAAACTTCCGTTCATCTCCAAGATCTTGGAAAAGGTTGTGGCTTAACAACTCACAGCTGCTCTTGATGAACATAACATCTATGATAGCTTCCAGTCAGGTTTTCGTAGAGCTCATTCTACTGAAACAGCTCTTCTTAGGGTCTCTAATGACCTTCTGACCCACAGTGATGCAGGGGACTGCTCTGTTCTGGTCCTGCTGGACCTGACTGCAGCCTTTGACACTGTTGACCATCACCTGCTACTGGAGAGGCTGAGAGACTGGGTAGGCCTATCAGGATCTACTCTGGAGTGGTTCTCCTCTTATCTCTCTGAGCGCTTCTTTTCTGTGGTCATCTCCAAGTTTAGGTCCTCCACCACCTCCCTTACCCATGGTGTCCCACAAGGTTCTGTGCTGGGGCTTCTGCTCTTCTTCCTCTATCTGCTTCCTCTTCAGCACATCCTGAGCTCCTTCAAAGGAATCTCCTACATCTTTATGCAGATGACATCCAACTGTACATCTCCTTCAAGCCCCATGAGATGTCTAAGCTGCAGCTGTTACACTCCTGCTTAGATCAAAACCTGGATGGTGGGAGCTTTCTACAGCCGAATGAAGATAAGACTGAGATCCTCATCTGTGCCCCAGACAAGCCGGTTCCCAAAGTCAGAGACTGTCTTGGTCAGCTTGGTTCGCACACCAAACCTTCTGTCAGGAATCTTGGTGTGACCTTTGACCCAGCTCTCACCCTGGATTCTCATGTCAGTTCTCTTGTTCGCTCTTCCTTCTTCCATCTCAGGAACATTGCTAAGCTGAGTCCCATTCTGTCCCGC